AGGACATAAGGATTTAGTGTTAATGGAGGATTTTAAAAATAGTAAATGAAAGGCCAGTATGTGGTTATGTATTAAATCTTAGTATATTTTATGATGGACCTTTAAACAATTATAGTTAAATGAAAATGGAGATATGATGATGGTAACGTATAAATATCTGAGTTAAAATACTTGAGTTAATATAAATTATGTTTGTTGACTGTGGAAGGGAGGCCCGAAAGTCTTTTTGTAACCAACTGATACACTTTCTACAGCATGTAAAGAAGGATGTGTTGTGTTTGTTTTGAAAATAAAAAATAAAAAAATATTTAAAAAAAAACAATTTGAACTTCTTGGCCCCACTCTGGCCCTACTCTTTATCTACATACCCATTACTGAGCTCCAAAAGACCAGGGATCTGCAATCAGTGCCCTCATATAAAAAAGGAACCAGCTACCAGCTATAAACCAATCAGCCTTCTCAACAAAATCAATAACTCGTCACAAGACACTTACAACAGAAATCCCAAACTTGCTGGAACAAGAAAATATTCTTGCAGAGGAGCAAGATGGCTTTGGAAAAAGCTGATTATCATTGATCAGTGTCTAATACAGAGGATGCATATTGATCCCACTCCTGTTTAATTTTTATATCAACTCCTCAACACAAGTTTCACTCCTCAAACTTGCTGCAAGACCAATCTCTGCTTTACTTTATGCACATGATGCAACATTATTTTCAAAACACCTAGTGGCCTTAAAAGTGCTCTAGAGCAATAAGAGTACCACAGTAGAGAAGACCATCTAGTACTCAAACTATCCTAAAATCAAAACCGTGGCATTTTTCAAAAGACCAAAGAGCTATATCTGGAGGATAAATTGAGCAAGTTGTTGTTTCAAATATCTGGGGATTATCCTTCACTCTGCTAACAGATAGAAACATTGTTGAAAACACACAAAGGAGATGAACTGCCAACCTCAAATTTCACAAGACAAAAGGTGCAGGCGTGGGTTTCTGCTGGCATTACTGCCGGTTCGGTACGCACACAATTTTGAAACTAGTAACCAATATGACACACTATTCTTAATTTCATGCATGTACACACACATGCGCAAGCAGAACAAATACCATTTATAGGTCATATTGATTTTTAATATCATCTTTTCTTACTAGGCAAGTAGAAATAACATCTAATTACAGAATGGAAGAAAGTAGAACTGCACATTAACATTAGGAGAATTAACAATTTTCTCTGCCAGATTGTAAGAATGAAAACTTGTTCAAACATGTCTATTTCACATCCTCTTTTGGATATGCTTAACAGAACTATTATTATGTAAGCTTAACTGGGGAAGACAACATGAAAGGATACACCCCTTGTCTCGTTCTACTTATTTTTATTTTTAGGCTTTATTTGAAAGATTATAGCTAAAGTTAATAAGATAAGGTATGTCCCTTATGGTATATCTGTATAAACTGAAATATTTAAAATGCTTTTTAATTTTTTCTTTTCATCTGAAGCATGTCTTAAATTAGCAGCTTTCAAGCAGTTTATGACCCTAAGCCATTTTTTAAAATACAGAATCCAGGCTGTTTGTTGCCAAACATATCAAACACTGAAATCATTCAAAACATTGATATCTCTCCTAAACCCAGCATATTCAACCAATTATTACAACCATTATATGATGGATTAATTATAACAACTGCATGCAAAATTTGATAGTAATTTTATCATATGATGAGAATTCTTTTACGGTGCAAACATATATTTTGGAAATATTCAGATCTGACTGAACAATATCTAAAATTAATTTTAGCAATGAATCTTAACTTCACCAGTATATAATTTCAAACAATATACAGTATATGAAAAGTAATACATGAACAAAAAACTATTATGACCTCCACTTTGTTTGTACAAAAGACGTTTTCCATCCAAATATGCATCGATTGTTTACTTTTCCTCAACAATTCTTTACTCAATCTTACTAATTTACCTATATAAATACAAATACTGTGCTTCATTCATGATCTATATTACAACCACTGTGATCATTACTTACTGGTGTACAATATTCCACCATTGGATAGTGCATCTTATGACCTTTTGCAACTCGGCCAGAAAAGAAGCAGCTTTGGCAGATATCATAGTTAAAGTGCTTTAAGCTTCTGTATCTGAAAGAGAAGGAAAAAATGTCATTTACAAATTTAAGAGTAAACTATGTTTAGGTGTAAGCTTGAAGACTATCATATTAGAGCTTCATATGATACCATTTTAATCAGCAGCACAAAATTAACTATAAGAGATCCATTTACAAAAACTGAGAATACTGGAAAAATACTGTGAAAACTCTTAAACCATTTTTGTTTTTTGTTTTTTAAAAAATTATGCATAGCATATAAACATATATTTCATTCAAATATCAAAGAACTTGGGTTGACCAAAAGCAGTAATAGATTGGTTATCAACTAATCAGATATGCTGTTTGTCATAGCAGGACTTCAGTGTTAGAGGGATTCACTGCATTGAAATAATCAAAATGATTAACACTGTAGCTTTAAAAAGTCAGAAGTTGCAGCCGATTTCAAAATCAGTCAAAAATTTTACTGGATGCACTGTTATGAGAACAGGTTGTATCTATTCTACAAGCCCTCACCTGGTAATAAACTGGGCATCATTCAAAATAATGAAGCCAGTATTATCTATACTGTTACTATTCAAAAGTAGCTTAATTGTGCACAGAGGTAGTCCTATTCGTTTAGGGACTATTCAAAGTTACAACCACACTGAAAAAAGTGACTTATGAGATTTTTCACACTTATGATTGTTGCAAATCACTATGGTCATGTGATCAAAATTCAGCTGCTTGGCAACTGACTCATATTTATGATGGTTGCCATATCCTGGGCTCATCTGATTATCTTCTGAGACCTTCTGGAAAGCAAAGTTAATACAGAAGCGAGATTCACTTAAGAACAGTTTTACTAGCTTAACATCTTCAGCAATTCACTTAACTATGGCAAGAAAGGTCATAAAATAGGGCAAAACTCACATAATTGTCATTTAGCAACATAAATTTTGGGCTCAATATTATAGTTGTAAATTGAGGACTACCTACATATATTTTTATGCGTCCAAACACAATTTCAAAATGAAGAAGGAATTTACTTTTTTATAAACTTGTTTGTTCAATTTCTGAATACTTAATTTGGAAAAAGACAAAATTGAGATTTTCAATGTGGAAGAAATTTGCAGAATGTTTCCTGCATTAGTTAAAAAAGAGAAATATATTTGATAAAAAACCAATTTGTTCTTTACACTGTTTATTGAACTTATAAGCTTCTATGCTGAATAACATTTCATGATTATAGTTTCAGTGGTATGAAAGCGTTAATTAATTCAGCATTTTACCTGAATCCAATAATTGGACATTCTTTACAGATGTTGCACTTGGCCTGATGTTTGGCAGTTTCAGCAGCTGCCACTCTATGTAAAACCGGAAGCCATACCAATGATTGTGGTTCAAGTCTCATCCAATCCAGAAAAAGAGCTGCTTCAATTTCAGGTTTGTTATTTGCCTGTGAGAGAAAAGCAATGCTGTCAACTTTGAACCAAACTTGGCAGCAGCCATTTTTCTGTTCCTCAGTTGCCACACAGAGGGGAAGGAGATTGGAATGTATACTAGACACAACAAAGAGCTTTCTCATGAGAACCAAGCTCATTGTTACTAGCAACAGATAAAGTTGGGGAAGGAGTGCCTGAAGAACCTGCCAATTAACCCAATTGGCCAATGTGATCTGTGATACCTGGAATGGGATTATTTCCTAGTTTATATTGTAACTGTGGGAAAGACTTAGATTTGGTTTTCCATTGAAGCTGTGCCAAAATGATGTACTCAATAAAGAAGACATTTGGGAAGGAACCAAGTCTCTGAATTCTGATTTGCTGGAGTTCATTAGTTGGAACCTTGACAGATGCATTGTCAGGGGGAAAAAAAGACAACTGTATTTTTCAGAATATAAGACGGACTCCCTTCCCACCTGCCAAGTGGGTGGAAATGTCTCTGAGTCTTATTCAGCGAATATTGAGGCGGAGAGGGATTGGTGCAGCACCAATCAGCTGTTCTAGAACGGGTCATGGTGGCGAATGGGTCACAAGTGGGCTGCAGCGAACAGGCCACATGAATATTGGATGGATGCTGAGAGGCAGATTTTTTCCCCTTGTCTTCCTCCCCAAAAGCTAGGTGCATCTTTTAGTCCGGAGCATCTTATAATCCAAAAAATATAGTATATCTTTTGATAAAACAATTTGACTATTATTTGGAATTTTGATTGAGATGCATTTATACATTTCATTTATATACGTTATATATAATTTTAAGAATACAATGATATAGTCTTTGGGATGTGGATATGCATAGATGCTTTCATCCAACATTTTCATGAAATTTTGTTCTACAAAGCTCAAAAAGAGTTGTGGTTTGGGAATCGATAAGTTAATGTCTCTCTCTTAATCTTTGTCTTGGAATATTGGAGGTTGGAATATTTAAAATTAGCATCAGATGAAGGGCTCAGGGTAATTCTAAGTTCCTTTTTCCCCAATTTTCATTGTTTTCCATATCAATTCTGTTTCAATCTTCTTTCCTGCTGTATTCAGAACAGAATAAGAGTTGGAAGGGACTTTGTAGGTCTTCTAGTCCAACCCCAGTAGTATATACTACATATCAAAATTTAGACACCTTTTAGTCCCGCCCCATTGTTTTGTTTCTGTTGTAACCCTGCCTTTTTGTGACATGTTTTATATTGTAGTTCCATCCCCTTTTGTGATGTGTTTTGTTTACAGTGTAGCCCAGTGGTGGGTTTCATTTTTTTAAGAAAAAGTTACTAGGTGTGGCCTGTTTTGTAGGAGTGGCTTGGCGGTCATGTGACTGGGGTGGGAGTGGCTCTGTGATCATGTGACCAGGTGGGAGTGGCTTGGCAGTTGTGTGACTGGGTGGGAGTGGCTTGGCAGTCATGTAACCAGGAGGGAGTGGCTTGGCAGTCATGTGACCGGGTGGGAGTAGCCAACTTGATGTCACTCACCAGGAGATGTCATGGATTGGGTGAAATGTGGTGAAGCTCACTTAACAAGGCTCTTGCTTAGCAACCAAAATTTTG